CTCATCCCAAACAGAAAACAATCTCAGGAAAACTGAGACTTATTTTTAATCATATTTATATTTTGAAGAGGCCTAAAATGGATGCAGTAGCCCATTTACTGAAAAATAATGTGTTAAGGACTGATCTTGCATCAGAACAGGGTGGGATAAAGAAATTCAAAAGCATGCCCAAAGATAATCTAAATTGTGGAGAGCAATGGAGTATTTTCCTCCCTTCCCCATACTAATATGAGAGGTAGGCAGTGGCTTGTTATCGTTATTGTCATTATATTTTATGGAATAGTGAATGTCTGCGTGGCTACTGAGCACTTGGTTGTTACTGAGTTGACTGCCAGAGCAGTGAGATGAAGCAAGAATGTGGCACTCCTCTGAGGCATTCATCTGCAGATAAACAGATGTTATAATGTAGAAACAGCAAACAGGAAAAGTGGTATCAAGGCATCACCTGCCCCCTGGAATGGAAGGCATCCATCTCCTTCCACTCACCCAACAAAGCTCACTGATACACGTTTCACATCAGATGGCTGTAGTGTCTCAGGCTGGTAGATACTTAGATGCTGGAGGAGCAGTGGAATTTGAAAAAGCAAGCCTTAGAAACTGCAATTATCTTTCCAATAACTTCACTGGCTCCAGGATCAGGCAGAGGCAGTGTATCACTGCTTCTAACACCACTGTTTTAACCTTGGCTGCGGAAGAAATTGAATGGGGTAACAATTTTAACATGCAGGCAAGTTTGACCTTTGCATCCCTGTCTTCCAAAGAAACAGAGGCTTTGGCCATGAGGTGCATGCTCAGACCACCCAGCTTGTTTCTGAACTGTTAGAAGGTAGTCAGGGTCATTGGTTTATCTGTGCACCAACATCTCATCCTCGATGAAAACATGTCTTCACTACAGTCTCTTAATATTTGCTACCCAAACACTGCTACTGCACAGGACCAGGAGCACTGCAGCAATAGACCTCAGTGCAGCTACTTGCTCTGCTCTGTCCCAATTTAGGTTGGCTGCAGATCCCATTATGCATCTGGAGGCATTTCACTTTTTAGATGATTACCATCAAGCTCAGACTTTCATCTTTGCACAATAAGGATCAGTTTGCAATCAAATGTTTTGGAATACTTTCTGGCCATTTATCACACAATCTCAGCAACCCTCTTTCAGTAAGTTCTTAAAAAGTATTAATGTGTAAGTGTCCTGCAAGCACGGTTAGTGATAGGATGTTGAACAGTGAAAACTATTTTCATTTTGATAGAGACGATCTTATTCTGACTTCTGGGCATGTTTGGATATGTATAACATTATTATTTGCATGGGAGATAATACCAGGAACAAAAACAGGCATTGCTAACATTCACCCTGGGTAAAACAGCTTTCCCACTGTCCACTCATATTTCACACTTAGCACACTAAACACTGTCCATTCCACAAAATAGTCACTGCACTGAATTCTGCCCCTGGCATATGTAGAACAAGACTTATCTAGCACCATGATATCTTATGCCAAGCAAAACCCTTATTTATTTTTTTTTTTTAATATAATTTTTAGGGTGAAAAAATGGTATTTGTACTCACTAAGCCAGCAATTTTCTCGAGATGCTGTTTCATCCTCACTTACTCAAGACCTCTCTGTTTCTCCTGTCTCCTCTGCCATTGCAGACAACTGAGCAGTTTTGACTGGCAATGTGGCAATGTGGGCATCTCCATCATCAGCGTGAGGTGGTGGAACCACGCATCGAAGTTGGAGTCCTGTTTCTTGTACAGGCAACCCAAAACAATCCAGATTTCTTTAGAGAAATAACATCTTCCCCCTTTCCCACAGTCCAGACTATTTTCATAGTGTTTGAGATTCACTGGAAAATGAAAGCTATGACAAAAAACAGTCAAAAAGACTTTTTAATTTAAAAAAAAACAAAGCTGAGTTTTCCACTGAAAACATAGAGATTTTTCAAACAGTCCCATCCATTGAAAAACATGAAGGATTGTTTTTTTTGTCTGTTACTGGATTTCTTAGTCCTGGCCTAAGTAAGTGGACTAAAAAAAGATCCATACTACTGCTATGGAAAAAAATACGATTGTGTTAAGTGAGCATGGTAAGGAGCATTTTAGTTCCCATTAACTGAATTAATTTAATCACAATAAGAACATGAAGAAAACAATTAAGAAGTTGATAAAACTCCCCTTTTGGCCCTGGAAAGTTCATTTCCTCCATTTCTTAATATGTATGAGATGCTGAAGAAATCTTTGCTGGCAGCACTTCAGTCCAAGATAAAAATTATAATGCTGCAGTGCACAATGGCAAAAGCATTTCACAAAAATTCCTGTTGAGCAATTAGAAAAACAATGTATTATTCCTCTCAGATCATAACAGGAGCTTGATTTCCACTTCAAAAAATAATTCAGAACATTTCAAACAACACTTATTATGCATTTTAAATTAAGCAAGTCTGAATAAGTTGTGACTGAAAATTGGACAGAGCTAATCAAGAAGCTCTCTGGACCACCAATACTATTTAAATGAATTTCATACTCCCAGGAAAGATTTCAGAGGACTGAGGTGAGGAAAGAACTAATATAGCATCAGCTTATCAGTGAATAGGTAGACTAATTTAAATTGACATAGCAGGAAATGTAAAGAAAATAATGTAATAACCCATAATTTTTGCTCATTCCAGGACATAAAAAGCAAAACTAATTCAAATTATTAAAGTTTATAAGAAACAGAGCTGGTCAGATAAAACTGACTCCTTATATTGATCAGCTAGAATTAAAAATTAGTTGAAGACAAAACGAACACACATGTAGTATTTATACTACTGATGGGCATTTAAAAGTGTGCCACATGACAGTCTGAAGCCAGATTTATACAAAATTAACTGGCTGGTATGAAATACATTGTAAATATGGTTTCTGAATTGTATACACGCATCCATTAAGCACAATCTTCTTTTTTTTTTAAGATTTGTTCTTTACTATAACATTATTTAATATTATTTTCAATTATTGAAATACAAGATAAAATTACCTTTCAAATCTCATCTAAAGATGAAAAAGTTTCAGAGGAGAGAAGCCGAGAAAACTAATGAATACAACTGACCTTAAACCAGCTTGCTTTGTTTTCTGGAGGTACATTGCATTCCAAGGATTGTGGATACATACAGGACAGAGGTTCACCAACCACAGAAGCAACAGGCACAGGGATTTTTTATACTTCAAATCTGATAAGACTTATAAAAATGAGGTAGAGTAGCAGTAAAAAGACTTGATACTATACAATTCTTTTAGCAGTCCTGTTTTGCTATTAGTGTTCCAATTAAAAATGCATTTATATTATTGTAAAGGATCCAAAGAAGAGTTCCACAAACAGAGGATCCAGAACACTTGAGTCTGTTTACTCATTTTAAAGAAGAGAGCTGAAGAGTGACTTACTCAGTTTGTAAATGCCTACAGTGAAAACAGCAATGTCACATCATGCACTTGAGTTTAGCAGACAAGAGACAAAAGATCTGACAGCTGGATATGGAAAGATGACAAATTCAGGCTCAATATAAGAGACGTGTGTTTAATAGTAAGTAATTACACTTTAAACAATTTGGGTGGATTCTTAATTCTAGGAGCTTTCAAATCAATACAGGATGCTTCTTCTAAGAACAGCTTTAATTCAAACAAGAATTTGAGGAAGTCTTGGAAACTGTGCTCAGCAAGAGAGCAGACTGAACACATGGTGCTTCCTTCTGCCTTCTGAATCAGATTACACTGGCACTCTTACATTTTTCTCATGGAAATACCCAAAAGGAGTAGATTTACAAAGGGAAGAGAAGTGGGCACGAGCATTTTGGACACATAGGACCATACAATACAGTTGGGACTATATGGCTGCATTACACTGCCACCTGAAAGAAGCATCACCTAGGTACAGCAAGAGTGTAAAATTATGTAGGTAGGGAGGGACCCTACATTTTTGTACTAGAAACTATGAAAATAAAAGCAGTAACAGCATGCTATGTTAAATCTAGCAAATGCCAGAAACTTTGCATGCCAGGAGATTGCTCAGCCCAAGCCTGCAGGGGTACTGTTTTAAGTACATGTTTTTACCGTGAGAAAGAAAAACAAGATAGATGCAATGCACCTGAAAGAAGAAATTTACCTTTTTGGCTTCAGTGAAATAGAGGTGAAGGGGTCTGACACGCTGCAGATAACCATGTAAAGGAAAAGGCAGTCAGAAGAGACAGAAACCTGAGAATTTCCTGCTTGAATTGTATCCATACTTTTGTGAACATAAAATATGCAAACATTGAGTTTCTCATCTCAGGAAATAAAATTATTCCAATTGATGGCACTCCTTTTTGGATATAAGGCAATGAGATTAAAGTTGTCTTGTCTGGTGCCAAGTAAGAGCTTTGACCAGAATCTCTCGGGCATGACTGCCTAGTTCTCCCTGCAAGAGTCATGTCTGAACAAAAGGAAGACCATGTAAAGACAGCCACATTTTGAAGAAATGTGTTTTGGTGAAAAGCTGCTATACAGATTTAGTTGGAGAATCTTCTTCAAGAGTGTTACATTTTTTTACTCCAGTAATTTTTTCAGTAGCCAAGATTCTTACTTCACAATTTCAAACTTCTGCATACCCAGCTGACAGGATTAAGACACAGTGTAGGAGTTCACCCTGCACAGACGGTGAGCATAATGTACAGTCATCATGGAGACAACAGCTCAGAGATGGAAAAATCCTTCCAGGTTGCTCATGACAGATCTATGGCAGCGGTCACCCACGACAAAGTATTTTTAGAGTTCTGTATAGCCCATTTCTATGCATGCGCCCCCCAGAGACCCTTTAATTCATAGATACTGTTAAAGCTCACAAGACTCTCTTCAGAGACATACATCATAGTATCACTTTTGTATCTGCGCTTTCCCACATGGGCAACATGTTGCTGTGGAGCTATATTTAAAGCAGGCTTTGGAACAAGGGACTTTGCAGTTCAACAGCACTAAATAATCCACAAACTTTTCAAGTATATACTTTATTTCATTCATATTTCACAGTCAATTTCTGTAAAGTTTTAGCAAAAAGGTCATGTTCTATAACAGAGGTGTTAGGCTACTGTATTCAGAGCTAGCAACGGGCTTTGAAAGTACAGAAAATATTTACATTCCAACTAGAACAGTAGAATTTCAAAAAGACATAGTAAAAGTAATCAAAAATACCAACATTTATTAAAACTTAATACAAAAACCAGTCTGTCTGACCCATCAAGCTACCCACTTGTAAGTTGTCAGCAACAGCTGAAGCTGCAGCAGGCCATCTGATTAGATAAAGGCAGCTGTCTTCAGCTAACTTCTTAATACCAAGTCTTGCTGTTTCAAAGATTAAAACAAAAAACAACCAAACAAACCTGTGAGCTCACTGCTCAGTTTGGAGGCTAATATTTCTGTTCAAATCCACTGGACCAGTTTCAGATCCTGCCCAGAATCTGGACTTATCCTTGTCCCGATGTAGTCAACTAATTTTCCAAATGCATTTCCAAGCTAACCTATTTTATTACATTGCAGCCAAGAAAGGAAAACCCTTATTGTTTTAAAGCTTTATCAGGGCTCCCAGAAAAAAAGGCAACTAATAAAACTGAACAGAATGGTACCTGATGACATATTTATCACCAGAGACCTTCAACATCCTTTTTTTAATAGATGTTAAGGTTTCCCATTATCTAGGGATATGCTTCCTAAAGAGCCCCCGATTTAAGTATGAGTTCCAGAGTGGATTTTTCTAGTTCAGTAAATAGTATTTAAGTCTGGACTGATGCCCAGTAGGAGATTTCTAACCAGCTGCTGGACTTTATTCACAGATTTATTGAACATGTATTTATACAAATTACACCAGCTGAAAGGCCCATTAGCTGTAAGCACACCCACTTCAGCCCACCCTCCATACTGTCAGGCAAAAAGTACATGTGGTACTATAAGGACTGCAAGAGATTTCCACCAGCTAAGCCTCCTTCAGTCAGAGGGTACTGCCCTGCAAAACAAGTTTTTCATTCCTTTATACTCTATTAGAGCAGTGGAAATAGAATGGAGAAGGTCACTGGGAGACTCATTTTTCCTTGTCTCAAACAGCTACAATTGGACTTCATTTTTTCTGCCTCCCTTTCATCTCAAGGTACCCTGAGCCCATCATCTTGTTTTCTAGGACAATTGCATCCTAAAAATACATATTCTGAACTTCAAATTCTCCTATTTAATAGGTAGAATAAGAACTTTAGGAAAAGTAGGGAAAATACTCCTCCTGAGTTTGCTGGCTGAGTTCCAATATCGCCAGGCTGCAAGTTATGAGACATGGTAGTATCACAACTATATCAGGTATATTAAAACAACTAAATGCCAGAACAGTCTACCAACACTTCTAAGCAATTCCCACATACTGTACCAGTCTTCAGCAGGTAGGCAGGATCCCATGAAAGGCATGGCTACTAGTTTGCTACAGCTCCACTAGAGCAAACCCTGCCACAACGTTTCTTTCCAGGCCCATGGTTTTACAAACAAGACTCACATGCCTCAACTTCGTAAGACATGTAAAGCATCTTTTCACCAATGTAAAAAGGGTGAAATCCCTTACAAGAGAGAAGTCCTTTACAATTTCTCTAATCCACCTATTTCAGGAAGGACTGTAAAAGTATTCTCTACAGTCTCCTGCAATACTGATTCCTAGAGGCATCAGAAAATGTAAAGTCTGCATGACTGTCTCATCACAAATTAGCAAGACATCCAGTCTACTTTCAAGTTTCTTTTTTTTTTACAATCTGAAACAGATGATAAAAAGAATCAAATACCTAGTCACCTAGATTGCACGAGTTTTTGAAAATACTGTCACACAGAAAGGAACATATCACAGACGATTCAGATTCCTTAATGTTCTTAGACAAAGCTGCTCTCAATTTTCTACACAAACTGCCTCTGGAAAAAATCCCTTCAGATTGTAGGGAATGATGTAGTTAACTGTCTAGAAAACTGCAATGAAATAAATGTCTGTAAATCAGTTTTTGTAACATAACTACTGTGGCTCTCCACTAGCAAGGTCAGTATCTTATGGATACTGTGGTGTTAGCAATATCTCAAGGCAAGCAGCCTAGGAATGCTGTCAGTCAATATGAAGAAAAAAAAAATGTTTTAGAGATTGTTTTTTGAAGTTCAAACTTAGGTAGATAAAATTTTTAGCAAGTTTATCTAAGCTGACACACCTCCCACCCTCACTACATTCATCAGATTACTCTACATAAAAAAAGAAGGAACGGCATGGGAGAAGGACTTCACCACACACCAACTCCCTTCATCTACCTGAAACTGGTGATGGCCCAACAGTGGCACCTGTTCTGCTGCTGCCCTCTCAGAAACAACCATCTGAAGATGGGAATGCTAACAGAATGCTGCAAATTACTGTCTTTACTTCAAGAATGGGAACAGACCAGAAGAGCACATACAAACTTCTTCAGTCCAAGGAATTACATAGAGTTAGCACAAAATTCAAGGTCACACTGCAGTACTAAGTACCCATTCTGTCTAGAACCTACCATGCTATTCCAGCTCCACAGTTGGCTCTGAAGACAAACCATTAATGGCAATGCAACTTTGCAAATCTTGGACTCAAAAAATGCTCAAAATAGAAGTTTAAGACAGGAAAAAGGAGGCACAGAAATAACTTGACCAACACCTATGCACATTTTTACTACATGTTGGGATAAGTGGGGTCTTCAAGGTTGCTATCAGCTTTATCAGATCCTGTTAGAGATGCTTCTAGCTCTGCCCATGACTGTGGAGCATTGTTCTTTATTGCCTCTATAAAAAGCTGTGTCTGGTGCTTCAGCCGGTCCAGCTCAGCCTGCGTCACCTGGTTCTGATGAATGAGCTCCTTGGTTTTTAAAGTGATCTCCAGCAACCCTGACCTGCGTAGCACAACAAGTGTATTCTGAAAGCGTCTGCACTTGCTTTGCTGTTGCAAGAGCAGCTCAGGGGCAGTGCAAATCTCTTCTGGTATCAATGGAGGGCTCCACGCTCCAGAAGGCATTGTAGTCTGTGATGCACTCTCGCTCTCATGAAGGGTGCACTTTGTTGCCTGCAGAGTTCCAAAAGGCAAAAGGGGAGTCAAACCTGGCACTTTCTGAGCATCACTGGAAACATGATGAAAACCAGGAAGAGCTGACAGTTTTCCACTTGTCACTAGAGCTGAAGAACTTTGCTGGTTAGAATCCTGAGGGGTCTTAAAGCTAACTGGTAGGTGGGAAAAAGGACTAGTAGGCAAGCCTGTACTCATCAGTACAGGAGAAGTCTCCATCTTGGGTGCTTCTGTGCAGAGTCGTTTATGGCAAGTGGTTTCCTGACATTCTTCTAGATCAAAGGAGTGATCTCTTTTGCAGGGATGTGGTGCTATTTTGGGAAAAGAATTCAGGATGGGCAGGTAATTAGTGGAGTCATTTCTCTTTTTACCAACAGCGTGAGGATTAATGGGAGGTGGGATTGATGGACGAAGAAACACTAGCTGTGGCTGAGCTGGAATCACTTCAAAGGATGGCTGCACAGTCCAAGACTGGAGCTGTGATGAACTCCCCTGAGAAGCACAAACAGGGAAAAACCACAAGTCTTACAAAAGCATTGTAGAAGATGATAAAAACAAACTTAAACAGGTGGACTGTGCCATTTTTCCACATTTGATATATACTGTCCAATTAACGTGTTAATAAGATTTTTCTATCAAACTCACCCTTCTCTGACAGTGGAGCATAATGCTGGAAATAAAGTTGTAATCCATAATCCTTTTACTATGCAACAGCAGATACATTTAAAAACAATTCAATCTGAATTTATATATGCTTTCCTAAGTGAGGATTACAGTGCAAGATTATATCATAAAATGTTCATTAAAAAGTTTGACCCAGACTTGGGGTCAAACTACAAGTGCTCAGGAAAGCCAAAAAATAATTAAGCTTTCTGTTATGAAATATCTTAAGAGCCAAGGAAAGACTGCACAGACATTTTAGGAACAATGCAGGCTCCCACTTTGTTGAAAGGTAGCAACTCAAATCTTCTCAAATCTATTCTTATAGCAAGACCTTGAAATGGTTATTTAAGATACACAACAGCTGTTCAGGAAGTCTTGTAATTTGAAGTACAATACAGAGTTTCAGTAAATTTAAAACTATGAAGCAGAAAAAAAAAAAAAAAAAAGCTGAATATTAACCAATGCAAGGAGAAAAGCTTGTGGTAAGCCCAGAAGAGTTTAACTCTGTACCTCTGGTGAAAGTGTCCACTGATAAACCTTAAATGCATTTTATTTCAAGAACAATGCCCAAGGCTTTATTCCCTCCCACAAGTCATGCTCTGGAATATAGGGGAAAACATCCATTTTTACATGACATTACCTCTTTTTCCTCCAACACCTTAATACAGATCTTCATGAGATCTTCTGGCCAAAAACACGATTGCTTTTCTCCAAAGACATTAAATGGTCTAGTAAGTCACACTATTTCTTTCTAAAGCAAAATCTCACTTCTTCATATATTTAAGCCATCACCACTACAATTACACGAATATATTGTCAGCTGCTTTTTCAATTCCTTACAACTTGGAACATAACTGGAGGCCTGTTGAAGACACAGTTTTTAGCTACCACAAATACATCTTATTTTTTTAGTACTATATTAAGTCATCTGAAATCCATATCCTTTCCACAAATCTCGTAAGTTCTGAACTGGCAAACACCAACATGCTTTGCTGAAGTCTATTTCCCCAGTAAAAGACTCAGAACTTAACCAAAAGCTGGTATTACCCACTGATTAGGACACTGAGACTGGGAGATATGATTCAATTACCTACTCTGACACAGTGTTTCTTTGGTTCAGTGGGCAAGATGCTTATGGAATAGGGGTACAGAACAGCTACCTGTAAAAATAGATATTACTACCTTAACACAGAATAAAGAATACTCAAAAGAAAAGTATCTGGAGATGTAAGGAGTGAAAAAGCATATGAATACTGCAGCTATACATACACAGGACAGAACATGTAGCCCTAAGGAGCAAGGGTTTGGAACTAGAAGTTGCCATTTACTGCACCACTGATTAGCACCTAGGACGGCAGATCCCCATAACCATTGAGGCCAAAAGAACTACGGAAACTGTTTATCTTGCTCTTGGGTTTCTTCCTATCTCTGTTCTTTTGTCTTTTCCTTCTCACATAGCACTCTGCTCTTGTTCTCCTACTCAAAATCTCATTTTCAGTAGAGAAGGACACTTTTATTTTACTAACTCTGCAAACTGTTGTGTGTTTTGTTCCATTTTTTAATGAAAGCTATGAAAGCTAACTTCCTGATGTACCTGTGTCACTTGCCTGAAAAGCCTTCCTACTTATTAAAGACTTTGATGAGACTTACAGAAACATTATCACAATCAGCACTGTGGTCTAGAGCATTACTCGCCACTTGATTTTTTTTAGCAGCAATACAGTTAGCTGTTTACATTCTGAAATTGGGCCAGCAGGTAACCACCACTGTAGAGGATCACAGTAGTTCCAAGACAGAAGGATGATGCTGATTGAAACTGAAACTGGAAGAAATAAACAGCAGTAACTGGATGCTGCCTTTTTTTTTTTGGTCCAGCAAGTCCAACTGAGTGCTGTGTTGAAAAGACCATTTTATAAAGATGACCATCTGAACTAAATAGGCACAATGAAAAAAGGCAGAGAGACATTTCATTATTATTTTGACCTAGACTCATTGCTTTCCTTTATTGTAGTAAAGGTTTTTCAATTTGACATTATTGTCTTTCAGCATATGTAGTTAGATATTATGATGCTCTGCTCAAAAGAACCAAGTATGATCATTTTATCCAACTCTTCCTTGCCAAATTTCCTTTTTGCTATACTACAAAGATTTTATATATATATATATATACATACATACGTATACACACACATATATAGATATACACACACACACATACATATATATATATGTGTGTGTGTGTGTAGTTGGAGTTCTTTTATATCTCTCTCTATACAAGCTACTTATTATTAGTTGCTGCTGCTTCTTATTTGCAACACAACTTGGAGTTTAACACTGGAACCGTGCAGGTGATGTCTTAATTTTTGGGCCAAAGGGTACCAGTCTTTGGTGAAGCTTGCCTGTTCCTGACTTTTTATATAAAAACTTCAGCATTTGTTTACACAGTGTTTTGTCCACACATCTAGGAATGTGACTATAAAAGAAAATTGTTTCTTGTCGAGATAAAGCATGATGCTCAGAGATGATCCTCTCCCACAACTGCATAATCTGCTAAACATTAACAGTGAGTATTAGGTCTTGCTTGTAGTAGTAACAGGTTCAGTAGGAAAAGAATCAGGATTTATATTCTTTTTTTTCCCCTTCCCTTCTGTATTCTCAGAGGTATATTTTAGTAAAAGAAAACATAGAAGAACTTTTGCTCCACTCCAAAAATGAATGAGTACAGAGCAGGAGGTCTAATAATATGACAGTACTTTGGACTTCTCATACCTTATGTTAAAATGTTAAAGTTACAGAGGGGGTCTCACAGATGTGCTGGAGGAAATATACATTACAAAAATACTTGAGAACATATATAGGAAATGTAATTGTTGCAATGTGTGCCATCTCATGCAGTTAAGTGAAACAACTAATAAAGTAGAAGTACCATAGCTAACTTCAGGTAAGGATTTAACTTTTTCATGTATAACATTCTGGATTAGTGTTTCCCATTGCATATGAAGCATTTCTAGAACCTAAGAATGAGGAAACAAACCTATCATCCTACTTCACCATCTCTACTGAATAAAAAAGACAACAGCAGCTTTCAAAAGCAAGTCACGCTTTTCTGTTTAATCTTTGGTGCTATTCACATAACATTCTTGAAGATGTATTTTGGGGCAATTCTTTTGAGACAAAGAGGTTTAGTAGATGGAGATGGAGCAGAATTTCTCTGTATCACATCCCATCTTAGTGATTCCAGCTGCCTCTCGAAAGAACAGAGACTCACATTAGAACTTCTTAAATTACCAGTTACTTTCTGGATTGCAACAACATTGCAAAATCTTTTTTGAAAGGATAATTGGTTTTTTAAAAAATTAAGAATATGCAATATTTTTCAAGATATTATTTCTTCCCTACCTGTTTAACCAACACATTTTTCATAACAACCATAGGAGACAGCGCAGGAAAGGAGCTGCTTGTGGTCCTTGGGCATTGCCAAGGTCCATCCTCTGCATTCCAACACAGCGCGTTCAGCACATCCTCGGAGTCCGTCTGCTCCATAGCACTTGGACACTCTGAACTTCCATCTGCCAGATGCAGAATTCAGCTGTTAGTTGTTCCACATGCAACATGCTTACTAGTGTCTTTCAGTTCTACCATTCTGCCTCCTTCAACCAAGTCACAAAGAACAATAAAGTTTAGTTCTGTAATAATGTAACAAAATAATGTAACAGCTGTCAGACAGCCTCTAATAAAAGGCTTCGTATTTCAGGTCAGTTCTTATAGAGACATTTTCTCCCCCAAACAGCTATTACTTTTTGTTCTTTTGTATTTAGTCTCCATGGGACTGCATAGTACCCTGAAGGTAGCATTGCTCTAAAAACTGATACAGGAAAGCACTACAGGCTCCAGCATTACCACATGCACAGTTTGCAGTGCAGGCATTTTGTGTCTTGGAATTTTCTATCTAAAACCCAGTAAAGCAGGTATCTCTCAGTGAAGTGCTTTTTTTCTTGTTCAAAGGTTATTTTTGCACAGTTTTGTTGAGTACTAAAATGGCACACCGTGTCTATTATTTTACTGATGTTATAACCATTACTCTCTGGTTTATCAGGCTCTACTGACAATATGGTCAGATCATAAGAGGCACTGGGCAGCATAACCCTGCTGTTCATCAACAATTCATTCATCAATGCAAAGAACAGAAAGTAATTTTGACATCTCTACTTCTAGACTCTAAAGTCTAAGATTCTTCCATTAATTCTAAATTCCCATGCCATCCAAATTCAGAGGATGAACTTTCTAACTTGGTAATGCTCCACTTCAAAAGACTGGTAGTAGGAGGATTGCAGATGAAACCTATCTTGCTAGAAAGGCCCTCCAAGGTAGTGAGACACAAACTGGAAGGGGGTACTCAGATTTGTTAAAAAACCGATTAAAGCACAGCCTCAGCACAGTAACACACAAAAAAGGTAACACAGTTTTTTTCTAAACCTGAATATCCGGAGTCTTTGTCAGACTCAGCTGCTGCCATACTGAAGCGATGGTTGAAGCTCTTCATTTCCGTCACTTTGCCCAACAATTCTTCAAGGGTGTCAGTAGCTGACTATTTTGTCTGAGTGCTTCCATAGTGCCGTGGGCAGTTTTTAACACCTTTTCCATTGAGGAACTACAAAAACAGTTAAGAACAAAAAAGGACTTCATCTGAATCTAAAGAAAGTTCCATCAGTATAAGACAGCAATGGAGGATAGTTGCATATCTCCTTTTATACAGCCAGTGAGCTAATTACAAATTTTAAGAAATATCTCAAAATGCTGAAATAATGAAATTTCGATCAAAAGTTAATGTATTGGACATGTCTTTCCATCCCAAAAAAGTAAAACAAACTAAAAATTAAAGACTATTCATAAAACAACATTCATTTCAAGAATTAAAATGACTCAGGGCATTATTTATCTTATGAAAGCTTTGTTGTCCCAAGGGCTGAATTGCAAAACAAGACAGTTGTGCTGGGTGAAGCTCTTACAACAAATACAGCTGAACCTGCAAAGCTGTAGTTTTGCTAACACAGCTTGTTTCATTCTCAAGAGTAGAGTAAGTCATCAGAGAAAATAACGAGTGATCAGTGAACACACTGGGGGCTAAAGAAATCTATGCTGCAAGAAGAGCAACACATCCTGCAATACACTCCTAGGGGAGACAGAGCCTTAGAAATACCCATACCCAGAATGAAAACATTGAAAGGCTGAAACTAAAGGCTATGAAAATCCAAAAAATGTAGTAACATTATGGCCTCCCACACTACATACTTGTCATAACCTTCTGCTGCTTCCTGAGGGTAGGCAGTATCTTGTAAGACTAAGAAAGACTAGTAAGACTTCTGCTTCTCTTAAAGAAGGTAATTGAGAAATTGGCTAACAGAAAACTGACCCAATTAAGTGCAGAAATTATTTCTATTTTTGTTTGTAGAAATGATTTTCCTATAAAGTAATCCACTGAAATTGTGTCTCAATGTTAAGTTTTATATTTAAATTACAAAAACAGGAATTCAGGAGTCTGCAACACAGTCAGGCCATCAGTCCATCAGCATCAATAAGTAGTACAAGCTGCTTCAAATGACATTGCAACAGACATTCTGGAATAATCTACACCAAACACAAGTTTCTTCTTCAGGTTCAACTTTGTTAGAAGTGTGCTCCAAAATCCTGAGTCTTAGCACCAGTATTGAAGTCTGAGATGGGAATATGACTGTCTATTACAAGAACTATGGAATAATGCTCAGCAGAAGAAAATTTCCTCATGCAGCCACTTGCATCACTTTCACCTTCCATATTCAGTCACACCTGCCTACCTGCCTGCTAACAGGTATGGAACAAACACGGTTACGTAAGTGCAACCTAGATGATATCCTTGAAATGGAAGAAGTGGTTTAAGCCCTGATCCAGGCTTTCATTACTTAGTCCTTTCCAAAACAAATATGTATTTTTAAGAAAGTGATATGCAGAAATGCTAATCTAAAATAAAACCCCAAAACACCAAAACCACCTCAAACCAAAACAAGAAACGGGGCTAGAAATAAAGTAAGAACACCTCATCTGCCAGCTTGGCATCAAACGAAGCTTTGGGAAGGGCTGATACATCATCATCTCTCACAGAAAAAAGCAAAACACCGGAACCACAACCGAAAACAAACAAACCAGAAGTGCCACTCCCCCGAGGCACAGGCGTGAGAACCCTCCTGCCCATCCCCGGGCCAGAGCCGCCCGCCCGAGCCCGGCGGGCAGGACCTCCGCCGCACACCGCCTTTAAACCGGACACCCTCGCCGTCGTGCAGGGCTGTCCCTGCCGCTGATCCCACCCAACCTCCTCCGGGGCCCACACGCCAGACTCCTGCGGCACGA